TATCATTTGTTTATTTCAAAATAAAAATATTAAAACACACCTTATTAACACGAATTAAGAATTAAGGTGTAGCTCCACAAATTGTACATGTGGAACCAGAAGGTGTCTACACCAACCATCCTCACCTTGCCGGCCCGCAAAAATGCTTCTTCACCCTCTCTTAAAGGACCCCAGATTATAGGAAGGAACACGTGCTTATTATTGGGAATGTTAAGGGCCATTTTAACAGTTATATAATTACCAATTCTTACAAATAGATCAAAAGGCAGTATTTCTAAGAGAGTTTATCTAGTATACCATGATCCTTAACATAAATGAATTCAGATGTTTCCATTTTGCGCATGAAAATTCTTCCTTGTCTGGTCCAAACAAAGGACAATGTTAAAATTGGCCTAAGAACCAACACCAATTTGGCATATATGATAATTCTTAATATATTTTTTGCGATAATTATCAGTATTTGGATTGTGACGGACACTTCCAGATAAATAAGCTAATTTAAAAAATAATCTGAGACAATAAATACCATTAGCTACCATAATCTATGGCAGCACTGCAAATAAAATACTCTTTCTTCCTAATGCCGGCACTTCACTTGACTATTCGTATTTGCTATTTTAAAACATGATATCAGTGTGTCCTTTTCATTTCTTATTAAGCATGACAAGGACAAACTGTTGTCAAGTGAAGGGCCGGCATAAAACTCGTTACTCTGTGGTTCTGGTGCATGCAGTTTGCATTCGTAGTAATCTGTGGCATTCGTGCATTCCAAACCATTTTTAGTGATCTGTGATTCCAAAGAGTAGTTAAATAAACCGGAAAGTGCATTCTCGTTTCGGATTACCTGTTGTGTGTGTTTATTTGCGATTATTTTTCCTTTAATTTAACTATTTCGGCTATCTAATATGCCATCGATGTTACCAAAGAGCAGAGCCCTTACTACCAAGTGCTAGTGAACCTGTGCCACAACATCCTGAGAGGATCATACTGCCAAATTATTCAAGAACACCTGATACACATTCACGCTGCATATTTACACAATATACCTACATGTGATATACAAATAAATACAATAAACAATATGATACAACTATGTGAAAAATAGTCAGTAAATAAGAAGCAAAACTACAGTTTTTATTTTATTCATGATTCCTACCTAACCAAGTTTTTCCTAATAGTTATTCTTTAAAATCGCACCGAATAAAATGAATTAACTAGGTGTAATATTAATTCACTTCATACTGAGTTAATACTAAATTCATAGGTTGACCTATGTTTCATTGAATATTAAACATAACCTCAAAAAAATTTTAGTTTTCCTAATAATTGAAGTTCTCAGAAGTGTCCGTCAATAATCTTTGTTTTTACAGTCATTCACTTACGATTATGAACCTAGAAAATAATATTTCATGATTGTTGGTTCTTAGGCTAACTATGTATGGACTGAACAATGTCCTTTTTAATCCTTGTCCTTGCACGTAATTGCACTTACTGCTGGTTTGTTCCATTGTTTGCTGCAGCAGGCCTCTGCAAGCCAGCAGCATGCAATTTCGAAATACAGTGCGTGCCTGAACACAAAAATGAAAATGTAATGACTACTTTGGATCAACTTTGCAAAGTCGTACAGTGTAATTCCGTAAAACAGGAGGACATTCACCACTGCACTCGTGTGGCCAAGATTGATAAGGACAGTCCTCAACCACGCACAATAGTCGTGAAAATGGCTACACATTTGCTAAGGGATACGCTTATGGCAAGCGTTATAAAATTTAACGAAGCGAACGCCAGCGACAGACTTATTTAAGTATACTTAGGATCGTGGCTAAGGCATACCCTAAGCTCATTACTGATATTATGAACAGGTGCCCTAATCTCGCATACTTTCCAGTAATCTGGAAACTTTCCGCTCTGAAAATTATCCCAAAGCCGGGACAGCTTCTCTCAATGTCCACCGCACTAGGCTGCGTGCAGGGCTCTGCCTGCGGTTCAGCCCTTTGGAAATTTATCTTGGATGAGTTATTGGAGTTACCGCTACCGTGCCTCCTGGATGTCGTCTCCAAGCTTATGCAGACTATGTGTTTCTCATTGCTGCTGCAAACCAACCTGCTGCACTCGAGACTATTTTTTCCCGCGCTCTTAACAGCATTGCTGATTGGGGAGAATTTATGCTTGTATTTGGTCCCGAAAAGACTCAAGCTATTGCATACAACTCGCAAGCTTCTAAGATATGTCTTAACATGCTTGGCGTCGTGATTTATCCCAGTCTCACATTTATTAAACATATTAGTCACGTCGTCATTAAAGCTCAAAAGATCTTCGCAAAATTACGTCTCTTTATTCGGCCTTCATGGGGTCTTCACCCAAAAATCGTTGCTTCGATTTACAAGTACGTAATCGTCCTAACAATAACCTACGCCGCAGGGGGTATGGGGACACGCAGCCAAGTTTTGCGTTAGTCAAACTAAATTGGCCTCGCTGCAACGTGGGTTTGCAATAAGGACGATTCGAGCTTACCGCACGGTTTCAACAAATACATCTCTAGCTCTGGCTGGCTTCCCGCCCCTAGATTTGGTCATAGCTGAGGTCAGGGAGGCGGAGCTGACTAGAGTTACATTATGCTCTTCACACTAACCCAACAACCAATCTCCAAATCCCTTCACCTCCCTCACCGCGTATCTCCTTCGTACTCCTTTGCCTCGACCCAATCTCAGATAAAAGGCACTTGTATCTCGGATACTATCCAGATCTTCACCGATGGTAGTAAATCGGAGGAGGGGGCGGTCGGTGGGGCTGGCATGGGTTCGCATCGACTGGCATCAGGCCTGTAAATTGGCAGTGGAGTCTGGATATGTTTACACAGTCATCTATTTAGATTCTCTATCATCATTGCTTGCCATACAACAACGCAACTCTTGCCTACCCGTTTTAAAACCATTCGAGCGGTATTCCCCTGATGAAAATATTCTCAAGTTTCCTCAATGACAGTCGTACTGAGACGGTATCAAAGGCCATATACATTTACGACCTTGATCAAGCTGATCTGCAACAAACAAAATTCATAACAGTAGCGACTACGTCTTGTGTTGACTTTTTCTATCTGTAACCAAATTGTCTAGACGATAGTAAACCGTGAACTTCGAGATAGTGCTGCTATCGGTTGTTAATGATCTTCTCTAATTAAGAAAAGATATGCAAAAATAGAATTAGAAATTATAATTTTGATCGCTCCTTCTTAAGCCTTGTTTGTAAGTGGAACAACGATGGCCCTGTTCTAACCTAATGGAAATGAACCAGAAGCAATGCTTAGGGTAAGTGAAGGTGTGAAAAGTGAGAGAGAGAGAAGAGGATGTGCGTGAAGAGTTTCCACCTTCCAAGACAATCTATTCCAGCAGCACTATAATTTCTCAACTGCATTATGGTATATCATTCAGAAATTGTAGGTTTGGGACCTAACGTTACAAAAAAATATTTTTCGTATCTGATTTCTACTTTAGATGATGTCGCATAAAAACACCTGTAGATATAATTCCACTTACTAATGTGAGGCCGTTACGGCTAACTTAGATTACAGATTAGATAGTCATCATTTAAAGGAAATATTACTAGAAAAAGTCCACGCCGCAGTTACATGCTTAAAAATAAAAATTATCACTATAATTGCTATTTATTGTTTCAAATGTTTAATACCTGTAAAGGTATTCATTTGACATTGTGTGTTATCTACAATGCGAAGAGATGGCGCTGCCTTGCAGCTTAGAATAGAAGCAAGGCTAGAAAGGCTAGAAAGAATTCGACACGCCCATCAGGGCCGCGGTGGCATAATGGTCAGTGCATTCGCCCGAATAGCGAAGGGTGAGGGTTCGAGTCCCATCTGCTGCCTGATCCGCGTGGATTTTTTTCTAGTAATATTTCTTTAGATTTAAGGTACAATTCCGCAAAGGGCTGCAGGCGACAACATATACATAGCGCTCGGTATCAATTTCATAGAGTTTCATAGAAACTAGTAGTGTCGCCTGCAGTCTGCAGATGCGGCCTGTGGTCTGCGGTTCAGTTCGAACTTGTCCCTTTAAACACCGAGCAGTTACATGCCTAAAAAATAAAAAATACCACTATAATTGCTATTTCTTCTTTCAAATGTTTAATAATTGTTAAGCTATTTATTTGACACTCTGGGTTACTTACAATGCGAAGGGATGGCGCTGCCTTGCAGCTTAAGAAAGGCTAGAAAGAATTCGACACGGCTTTCAGGGCCTTGGCAGCATAATGGTCAGTGCATTCGCCCAGATAGCGAAGGTTGCGTGTTCGAGTCCCGTCTGCCGCCTGGTCCACGTAGATTTTTTCTAGTAATATTTTCTTTAAATTTAAACATGTTTAAAAAATAAAAAGTATCACTATAATTGCTGTTTCTTCTTTCAAATGTTTAATACTTGTAGAGGTATTAATTTGACATTGGTGGTTACCTACAATGCAAAGAGATGGCGTTGCCTTGCAGCTTAAGAGAGGCTAGAAAGAATTCGACACGGCCATCAAGGCAGCGGTAATATAATGGTCAGTGCATTCGCCCGGATAGCGAAGAGTGCGGGTTCGAGTCTCGTCTGCTGTGTTGTCCACGTGGATTTTTTTCTAGTAATATTTTGTTTAGATTTAAATATCGAGTAGTTACATGCTTAAAAAATCAAAATTATCACGTCATGATTTTTTTTTCTTGTTGTCGGTTCAGGTTATCTATGTCTTTCCCTTTTGAAGTGACTGTTCTATGCCATCGTCGAAATTCTTCTATCACAGTGAAACCCGTTGAAAATTGTTAGGACTAATAAAATTCACCGAAGTGTTATTATTGGCTATGCTAATCAAGGTCAATTCACCAAATATTTAGGTACACTTCAACTTATAATTGATTTAAGATAAGATTAATAAGAAATCATTGCATGTGCATACTTTGATTTGATAAGTTACATTTAAGTGATAATAATTTATAATCGGATAAAAACGCGTGATATATTAATTTCCTCGCCAATCCATTTCGCTTTACACTGAAGGCAAGATGAAGTTGACCGTAGCGTTACTATCTTTGTTCTTAGTGGCTTCAGCTGTTGTGAATGGTGAGGAGACAGAAGAACTGCCATTAGCTGAACTATGTGATCCAGAAATATGCAAACTACCGAACTGTCGGTGCTCGTCTACTCAAATACCCGGAGGATTAGCACCAAGAGACACACCACAGGTATTCTTGAGATTTATTTTCGATACAAGGCTTTCTCTACCCAATGGCTTCCTCAACCATATAATATCAAACCTTATATATGCAAAGTTTTAAAAATCTTATATATTATAAAGTATATATATTTACGCGTATGATAATTACATATTCATAAAGTCTTATGGAGCTACAATAAAATTATAATAATTAAACAATGAAATAAATTTTAAGATAAAAGGAACAAAAAACAAGATATCGCTTCCCCAATTCATTTTAACGTTCCCCAATTTTCGTTGGACATAGGAAGTACCGTAGCTGCGCCGCGATGGTTCTACGACAAAATGAGATTGATTTCATCATTTTCAAAACGGAACATTTTCTATGATGTCTCTGTGATCATCAGGGTAAAAACCGGTAGCGATCACCGGATAATAAGAAGCACATTGAATATCAATTCAAAGCTACAACGGTCTCGATTGGTGAAGTTAACGCTCCGACCCTCTCGCACACATATCCAAAACTCAGAACGTTTCCAACTCTAGCTACAGAATGGCATCGCTGGACTAGGAGATTTTGTATTTTAGGGACGATACAATCAGCTTGGTGGAAACTGTCCACCAAATGGGGTCTTAGTTCTGTAAGACCCACAGAACATTTGGAAATTTTGAAGAAATCTTTCAGCGCTTGTTCGATTCCGTTATTCACGCAGGCATAACGCTTGAGGCATGGCACAGGAGAGTAGTGGTACTTTTCTTAAAAAAAGGTGATAACACTCTATTGAGGAACTAGATGTCCATCTAGCAGCTGAGCCACGTCTACAAGTTGTTTTCGAAAATCATTACGAAACGTCTCGCTAATAGGTTAGACGACTTTCAGCCTCCCGAACAAGCCGGAATCCGGAAAGTTTTCAGCACCACATCCACACGCAGCGGCAGATTTTACAAAAAACCGAAGAATATAACCTGTCACTATGCTTAGCGTTTCTTTACTATTAGAAAGCCTTTGATTCGTTGAAGACATGGTCTTATATACTAGTTAAAGGATACAAGAGGCGCTGTAAACACAGTAAAAACAAGCTTTGTTACCAACTGATATTATATTTAAACTAAATTTTGCTTTTCAGTTCGTCATGTCTACATTCGATGATAATGTGAATATTATTAACATTGAAACATATCGTGAGATGCTTTACGATCGCAAGAATTCTAATGGTTGCCCTGCCGGCGCAACTTTCTACATAAGTCACGAGTACACCAACTATAGGGCAGTTAACGAACTCTACAACAATGGATTCGAAATCGCTTTACACTCCATCACGCATCGTACTCCTCAAACATTTTGGGCGGAAGCAACCAAGGAAGATATGAGAAAAGAGTTTGCCGATCAACGAGTGCAAATGGCACACTTTGCAAATATCCCACTGACTGCTATTCAAGGTTAGTTGAGATCTTAATAACAAAGTATAGTTATGAATGAAATGTGTATAATAAAACGGAAATTATTGAAAGGCAAAGAGACCTTTTGCTGGCATCTCCTCAATATAACAGACACTCTGAACTTGCCATTGAAAACCAATGTTAGCCAATAAAAAGTGTGCTACAAAAATAGGAAATTGAATTATTGGTGTTTATCTTTATTACTCGAATAATACTACATACTCAGACATAAACAAGTTTTTAGAGTTTACAAGCTACAAGCCAGCGAATTCGGTAGCAGCTTGTAAATTCTCCCCGTGTCATCGAGCAGGAGATCGTAAAAAAGCCGATGACACAGGGCGAGTTTACAAGCTACAAGCCAGCGAATTCGCTAGCAGCTTGTAAACTCGCCCCGTGTTATCGGCTGTACCTAGTAAAGTTTTAAACAAAAAGGGCTTACTATTTACTGTTGTCATCAGGACAATTCGATGTAACCACATCACCAACAACAACCGTCTATGTTTATTTCGATGTATTTCCTTGATTTCGTTAGTATAATCTAACTAAAACGTTTTTAATTTCATCATATGCCAATAAATTATTAGGAAGAACGTCGAAAAATGATCTAGAGGACTTTTTCAAAAATCCATTAAAACAGCGTATTAAAGGTTGATGTAATAGGTTGGGGAAAAGTGTTTTCGTATTATAGTATGTATGAACTTGTCAAAGAATCTCTTTGACTATACCATTTGTATCTGACTGGTTTTGGTATCATTGAATGTGTGATTTTCATTGGTTTTTCGTACTGCCAAGATAAGTGAATCTAATGAAGAAATTCGATACATTTAAAAAATATACTACAAAAAAGGTATAAAATGCAAGCCGCGAAAAAAATGTGATGCTTATGGACCTAGTGCAGTGTCTTAATTTGATTTAAGCATTTTCAATCCGGAAATTTTGATGTCAAAGATGCACGTCGCTCGGGTCGGATAAAATCTCGATAAAATGGATGCCATTTTTCAAAAATTGGAGCAAGATCGGCATATCAGTAGTTTTGACTGAACTGAAGAACTGGGAATTGACTACAAAACAGTTTGGCGCATTTGGAAACAGCTGGATACACAAAAAAGTTCGATATTTGGGTGCCTAACGAACACTGAAAGAACCATGTACTCATTTGTGATGTATTATTGTATGTGATTTTTATAACGACGTGAAGAAACCCAACTATTTTTGAAGAAGCTGGTGCTTAAAAGTGGATCACGTACGACAAGAACGTGCGAAAATGGTCGTGGTCAAAGGCCGCAACAAGGTGATGCCGTGTATATTTTGGGGTTGGAAGGGCATTATTCATTATGAGCTTATAGGTACCGCCAGACAGGACCATCGTTTCTAAACTCTACTACGAATAACTGATGAGATTAAAGCAAGAAGTTGAGAGGAAGCGACTGGAATTATTCAACAGAAGGAGTGTGGTTTTTCATCATAATAACGCTAATAATAACCTTGCACCTTCAGATTTCCACCTATTTCGGTCTCTTCAGAATTATTTAGGCAGTGTTAGGAAGGAACATCACGTTTTTGATCAGAAGCCCCAAAATTTCTATAGCAATGGGATCATGTCCGTACCTACATGATGGCAAAAAGTTATCGAACAAAATGGCCTACATACTTTAGTCATATGAAAATAAACTTAATATTGTTTTTTTTTAATAAATGCGAAGGAACTTTTTCTCCAACCACCTAATATATAATTCGACAAATTAAATTCAATGTAAAACACACTATTTATTTTTTATGGTTGTTTTTAAAGTTTATTTTGTGCCAACGCTTTTTGTTATCAACAATTGGGTAGGTTGCGCTTATTCACAGCAAAATTTTTATTTTTTACAGGTATTCGAATGCCCTTCCTCCAATTAGCGGGTAACGCTAGTTTTGAGGTGTTGAAAGAAAATGATATGTTATATGACTGCTCCTGGCCTACTAGGAACTTCATCAACCCTGGAATCTGGCCATACACGTTGCATTACGCCTCAAACCAAGATTGTCCCATCCCTCCATGCCCCACAGCCTCAATTCCCGGTCCTTGGATATTGCCTATGATTGGTTGGATAGACCAAATGGGCTTCCATTGCTCAATGGCAGATGCTTGCTTTGCTCCGTAAGTACCTAGTATTCTTCTTACGACTTTCAAAATTCAAAATCTTTGTAACTCTATCAACTTTTCATGAAAGTAAATGAAAATTTCATAACTTGTTAATACAAAATAATAAGCACATATCAGAGGAAACAAAAGATGCAGGTATGTTTACTGAAACAAAGTAGTGATAAAGTAGGAAATTCACGTTACTTTCGTGTTCATAGTAAACCGTAGATATTCATGTTGTCATGTGTGAAACCGTCCAATATTATCCAGTTCTCTATTGATCCAGATACTTAAAAATATAAACTGTTCAAATCATTTTCAGAATTCGCAGTTTCAGAACTTCATGATCATTAGTATTATCAATGTTTATCGTGTTCGTAAATATAAGAAACAATTATGAGTGTAACTGATTTAAATAAAATTCTTACAGTCCCAGCGTAAACGATGAGAATGCCTGGTTTGAGTTCATTACTGAAAACTTTGAGAGACACTACAAGGGCAATAGAGCACCCTTCGGCATCTTCTTCCACGAAGGATACTTCAGATTTAATCCAGCTGTCAGGAATGCTGTTACTAGATTTTTGAATGTCGTCAACAACTTACCTGACGCTTTCATGGTACGTTTTACAATAAAATATTACACGAGGCCACGTTTGATATAGGTCGGTTGAAGTAATTTTTCGTAAATAAATGTGTTATAAGTACGTGTATGAAAGTTTACTAACGGCTCTACTAGGAGGCAAGCCTTTGATGCCTGTGATGATTTCAGAAATTATCGCTACATATTTTTTATTTTTATTTTCTAATTTACAAAATGAAGTTTGCTTGCTGCAAAATTACAATGGAAGGTTCAGCTTCAAATGGCTTATCCTGTGTTAATTGTAAATCAAATTTCCATACATCATGCTTATTTCCTGGTAGTAAGAATAAAATGAAATTATACTTGCATGTTTACTAAACTTTTGGAAATTTAATGTAAAAAGCCTTAAATTTTCTAAGAATATTCTACACTAGCTTTTGCCCGCGACTTCGTCCGCGTTTTCGTCGTTTTTCGTAAAAAGTAGCATATGTCTTTCCTCAGGGATCCGTGGTTTTGATGTGACAGACAGATTAACTTTCGTATTATAGTAGGGATATATAATATGACAATCCACAGTACTGTTAAAAATATCGCAATAAGGAACCGCAGAATATTATTATTATATTCTGCGGTTCCTGTGCCCCGAGACCATCATCATCATCTTGTATGTTATTATGTTAATGTATTGGTAATATTGTTTAGATCACTTTCACATGAGGCTTAAGTATATATAGAATGAAAATACTTCAGCGCAAAGCTTCCGGGTAAACTACGTTGAAAGTTGACCCGACCGGCACGTGAACATAAAGATTTCTAGAACTGCTTACCCGGGAAAGAGCGACATATAACTAACCATGTGAAAACCAACTGACACCGAGATCTACTCCAGCAACACGAAAAGTCTGCCCTTGAGCATTATTTATTGTCATTACATAACACACCGATACTGGGAATTGCGTTCTTTTAAATTGGAATGGAAAATTATTTGGTATTATGGGAATTCTGGGAATAAAGATGGTTTCTCTTGCACCGCAACCTGTTAAAAATTGAGCCTCGATTACATTTTCTTGCAACTGGGTTACTTTAAGCCGAGTTCCATTGCAAAGTTGTGGTGGTCTTAAATTTCGGAGCAGAATAATCGGAATGCCAATTTTTAAACAAATTTCATGAGAAGGAAGTCCGGGCATATTTAAAGAATTTAAAAATTCTATCGGGTAATTAGTGGCTTCTTGTTCATCGGCCATTCTATTTATTGAACTATAAACTTTGCTTTCCCCCTGGATATTCGACAGTATTTTATTATTAATCTCAGATGCCTGGTCATTGCGAGGAGTTAAAATGGACCTTTCGCATATCCAAGAATTGTCCTTATTTAATATATTTGTTACGTCACCGTAAACTGACGATATAAGATGTTGTTGGGATTGCACTATACAACATAACTCAGGCGTCAGAATAAGTTTTCCTTGGTGTAGCAGTGGAAAGGTATCTTTGGTGAAGGCATTTTCTTTAATAATATATCAGAAAATTCACGATCATCCGGGTTATCTACAGTTCTCACTCGCATGTTTATAGTCAAATGCACCGATTGTATATCACGCCACAAATAAGAGCTTTTCAGGCAAGCCCTAACCTCATCAGCTCGGGTTCCCCGTGGTATTACCGGTACAGCAGGTACCGGTAATACCACGGGGACCTTAGCCCTGCCTGGTAAGGAGCAGGTGACAAATCCTCATGGATACCCTACAGCCGGCTGCAAGGTTATTTCAGACTCGTACTGACTAAAAAACATCCGTAGGGGCTGCCTCTGGCCGGGAAGGCCTCTAAGGCTTCATCGGAAGCGACGCAGAAAACAGATTTAGACAGCTCGCTCTCGGACCTCCCGCCTTTTGATACCCTACCGCCGCCGCGACCCGTGTCGAGCGCGGCAACCGTTACACAAAAATAATCCATATAGCATGATTCAGTGTTCACGTGCGACGGCGCGATGGCTTATTTCATGTATAAGATTGGTGTTTCTGTACCGATTTCTATGTTTTTTTTTATTGAATATGTAATAATGTTAACTTTTTTAAATAAGCGATGAGTCAGAGTATTATAAACTTAAGAGTAAACAAATATGATCAGAATGCTCCGAACTGCTAAGCTATCGGGAGTTACACGTGTTATTGTGAGTCAACCATAAAAGATAGACATATGCTGTTGCGGGATATTTTTTAGATAATTTTATGTAGAATATTTCCGTCATACATGATTTCTATGTAACTTTAACCATTAAGGCTGCACACGCGACGGAAGCTTAAAAAATGGAATAACTTCTCCCGTTTTCCCAACATTTCCCTTCACTACTCTGCTCCTATTGATTGTAGCTTGATGAAAAGTATACTATAACCTGCCCAGGAGTATGAAGAATAATTGTACCAAGTTTCGTTAAAATCCGTCGAGAAGTTTTTGTTTCTATAAGGAACATACACACAGACAGACAGACAGACAGACAAAAATTTTACTGATTGCATTTTTGGCATCAGTATCGATCACTAATCACCCCCTGATAGTTATTTTAAAAATATATTTCATGTACAGAATTGACATCTCTACAGATTTATTATAAGTATAGATTATCCACTTTTGCATACATGTAGATATTAATTTGAAGCGTATTATTTACAGAAATTATATATTAAAAAAAAAAGTTTATCGTAAGATTGGCAGGGTCATGGCACTTTTTGAATTAAAAAAAAATATTTAATATTGTAACCATCCGGGTGGAGTGTGGTTTAGTGAAACATAATACGCGTTTATATGATTATACTTTATTTCAAACTTAACGGTAGCACACGAACGCGGGAGAATCAAGGCAACGCGCGTGGCTTTACATTATCGAGTCCCGGCCAATGACTGACTCGCATCGCGCCTGCGTTGGCGCATGTGGCGCTACCCGAAATGTCCCCCCGCGCGTCCCTTCAGCGGTCAATATCTTTACTTTGAGCCGGAGAGAGGCACATAGACGCCACAATATCTATTTTTTAAATGATCAAAAAGTCTGTAAATATTTTATTGTGTCTGATGTTTCTTAATCACTGCAGGAAATAAAATTTGGAACGAAATCTTAATACATTTAAGAAAGTAATAATTTCTAAGAACATATTTTAGATATACATGACTCTTGGTTAATACCTTGAAATGATATTAATTGTCCCATTTCAGGTGAACTCCCGTGATGTAATCGAATGGGTCAAGTCACCTGTTCCAGTGAATGAGTACAAGAGACAACCATGCCGACAAAATGTCCCCACCAACTGTCCTTTTTCCTCCTGTGGTCCTCTTAGAGCAACTCACACAGAAGTAAGTCTTTCATTCGCAAAGCAATAAAAAACAATGATAGAGAATAAGAAAACACATTGTGTAATAATATTATTAGGAAAGGAGAGAAAGTCGCGATAACTTTTGATCGCATAGAATAAAAGAAAAACATTTTGCGCCGATCACCAACAATTTGGGAATAGGGCAGGCGAATGATGAATCATGTTCTGACTATTATTGACCTCACTACTGGGGCACCGGCCTTCCCTATGAAAGAAATAGAGAGGTAGGACCATGTCCAACACACGAGACACTAAATTAGATTGGAATTAGCAAGAAGGACCTCGAGATAATATTTTTTGGTCACCAATCCGATCGTAGTCTAGTTCCAGAATAAAAAACAAATATTGTTACATACACATGTAAATTATATTATTTAAGATGAAATCGATTTCCTAAAACAGATAACATATATGGATTAATTAAATCTAGATATTCAACCTCGATTTAATCATCTTACAAAATACGTTATTGGTCAAGGTTATCTGATATAAAGATAAATTTCTCAAATACCTTCTAATTTGATATGCGACATCAACAATGCTACAACCTCATGTCATTGATTAATAAAACTCATTAAAATATGGTTTTTAGAATGAAAACTAAAACCAGAATAAAAAACAAATATTGTTACATACACATGTAAATTATATTATTTAAGATGAAATCGATTTCCTAAAACAGATAACATATATGGATTAATTAAATCTAGATATTCAACCTCGATTTAATCATCTTACAAAATACGTTATTGGTCAAGGTTATCTGATATAAAGATAAATTTCTCAAATACCTTCTAATTTGATATGCGACATCAACAATGCTACAACCTCATGTCATTGATTAATAAAACTCATTAAAATATGGTTTTTAGAATGAAAACTATCCAATACCCTTTCCCGGGACTCAAACTATCTTTATACTAAATTTCATTTAAATCGATTCAATCAAATCGTAAATCGTAAGGTAACAGACAGACAGACACACTTTCATATTTATAATATTTAGTATGGATTAGAAGAAAACAGGAGATACGACTTACTGGGCTTTATATTATTTATTTTTCGTTATTGTCAAACATTTTATTTTGGTGTTTCATAATTTCAATGGCATTTAATATTATTTATTTATTTCAGGAACAATTCTGGATGCAGATTTGCAATGTCTGCCCCAGAGTTTATCCATGGTATGGCAACCCACTCGGAGTGTAAAGATCAAACTAAGCTTTTACAATTATTATTATTTTATTTAATAAATATAAATAAAAATTTCAATATGAATAAACTTTTATTTCCTTTCAAACAAATCTCCCTGTAGCATAGACATATCGTGATATTTTTTTACTAATAGATGTCCTTAGTCATTCAAACCTTCTCTGCTTTGGAATTAAAAATAGAAATCCCACCAAAAACATCTGCATATAAAATATTGCCAAGATAAGACCATATGACTCGCACTGCCAAAAAGTTATCGGATGTCATGCAGAGCTTAGCTTACCTTAACCTAACCTAGCCTAGCCTAACTTAACTACACGCCCTAACTCTTCAAGGCCTAACTTCGCACTCTACACCGCAGTTAAAATATTTGGCCTGACTATTTCACTACATTTACAAGGGGTGTCGGGTGAAAAATTTATCCATTGTTCATAAACTACTTGACCGTCACTGAAAACTTTATATTGAGATAGCACTTCCGTTTCCCGTCGAATTACCATCAGTTTTCGTACTTTTATTCACCTTGTATCCGATGCAGTAGCGACACCTGGCAGAAGCGCGGCCATTTTTGTTTTCCTAAGTTTTGAGGGCGCCATTCTTTACACTTACTTTTACATTTGTTTCTACACTTACTTATACGGACACATTAAATGAGTATCAAGAGAAACACAAAGTACGGAAACTGATGGTAATTCGATGGTAAACGAAAGTGCTATCTCAATATAAAGCTTTCAGTGAGGTAAGTATTTTAATATGCATTTTATTTCTGGTAAAATGCTGCTATTACTTTTCTGTAATACAATAGTTGTAATAACTAAACGAAACGACGGTATTGATACTCCTCAACCACTGCACCCTTTCTAAGTTTCTTTATCAAGTTGCTAATTTTCAGTTTAAAAACCAGGTAAATGCAAACTAAACGCCAATTTCAATGGTCTGAGATTAATTCAGTTTTGATTTTTTCTCAATTAATGTGCATAATTAGCTGTTGAAGTTTATAAATGCAAAACACTGTAATCAAAACATGTCTAAACAAATAAGTCTTTCATTATGTTTTCAAATGAAGATTGCGATATAGTATTAATTAATTCGCTATAAGAAATCTCAAAATGATTTTAAAAATGTTGATAAGTATTAGGTACAAGATAACAATTATATCTTTACAACGAGTTATCATAATCAATAATATATTATAAAGCATCATCATGATATTATTGTAATAGGTATTCATTTATCCAAATTTATATTTCGATGGCATAATTAACTGAACATAAACTTTTACTAATATGTCTATCTAGGACAAACGCTCCAATTAGGCAGAAACAACTTCGAGAGAAAAGCCAATAGAAGAATTCAGTAAGGCTGGGCAGCATTTCCTAAGCTTCGTCAAGTCTTCTCGTCACCCACCCCTCAATGTCTCAAGTCGAAAGTCTTCGACCAGTGCGTCCTCCCAGTTATGACATATGGCGCCGAGACGTGGACACTCACGGCTGGACGAGTCCAACAGTTTAAAGTCGCTCAGAGAGCTATGGAAAGGGCTATGCTCGGAGTATCCCTAAAGGACCGCATCAGAAATTGGAGCCGGAAAGTTCTTTAGTGGTGACCGAGACTCGGTAAACGTAGTGTTGGATGCCCTGAGACAAGATGGGATGATGATATTCGTAGGCTGGCTGGAGTGGGCTGGATGAGAGTAACACAAAATTGGGAGCAGTGGCGTGCATTAGGGGAGACCTATGTCCAGCAGTGGACGAACATGGGTTGATGATGATGATGAAAGTTTTACTAAATACGAAATAGCATATTGTGATTTGTCGGTCATGGCATTGATTTTCAATAAGAATTCATATCAAACAGAAAGATAAAGTTAAACAACTGCCGGGGTATACCGATGGAGATAGCAGTTAATAAAGTTTGCCAAATAAGTGCACATAAAAAGTGATTTATTAACGCAAATTCATTATGAGATGAGGATAACAAAAATAATGCTAGATTGAAAATCAAATGGAAAACGTACTTATAAGAAACTACTTCTGTCATTGTCAACGGTGATAAAAATAAACATGGGATGAATAAAACACAAGATTTTGCACTGTTTCTAATACATTTATTTTTACCCCATTCACATCGCGTAACTATATTTCATATCCAAATTGGTAAATACTACAGTCTTTGCATCGACTTCGTTAACAATAGCTTAAGTACCTAAAATTTGGTTATCATTATAAAGGTAAGTTCACTTAATTTACTTACCAGTGTCAATTCGATAGCAGAAAGTGAAATTGCGAAAGTAATAAATGAACAAAATTGACCGAAGAAAAGAGAAAACATTTTATTTTTTTCTTATAATAAATCGATAAAACAAATAAAGTAGATGAAAAATTTTACGTTTTAAAAATAAGGTATTTATATAATTCTAGTAAGCTTCTCTCTGACTTCGTCACAATACTGGATAACCACATTGAAGACAAACACCAAACTGATACTTAGTAGTATATTACAAAGGCGATTGAATATTTACAAGATATTACGAATCTAAACTATAACGTTGACACCTCATAATAACTTATGATACACTACGTTATACACTAATCCCATAAGGAATAAAACTATCACAATCTAATCAAATAATTGGGCTATACCTATCTAACTTATAAGAACATTTAAATATATACAACATTCATTTAATCACTTAAGATTTAAAAGAGCATACGAAAAAGTTAAGATTTTTAAAAACAAACACAATATGGCTTGATCTTAATCATATCCATGAGGTAGAAAACATAATTACTTTACTAAATTTAAGTACCGAAATGATATTTACAAGTACGTATAAATTAAAGGACGTCAGGGCTTAAAATTGCAAAAAAAAATATAACATTAAAACGTATATAAGAAAATTGTAGAATAAACACAAGCTATTTACACATTTGTACATCTAAAAACATAAAATAAGTTAGTAATACTGTAAATATATTAAAGCTTAACTTCAGAAAATAAGTATATAATAAAATCACTAATCCTAAATCAGTCCATCAAAAAGTAAAGATAGAAGACGAAAACAATGTACACCAGCTTTAAAATGTTCATGAAGAAAATTATTCTTCATGAAAATTTTAAATCCAACTTTAACGTAATGCATTGGACAATTTGCTATGTTCTATGACTGTGATACTGTGAATTCATAACTTCCAGGCAACATAAAAAAAAGATCGTACAACACAACATAAAAGCTGGACGGAAAATAAGAATTAATAAAAAAAACAGAATCTAAATGGCGAACATCAAAGTTTGATTGAACCTTACTTGGTCATTGATGTTTCAAATTTTTAGAATTACAATAAAATTTTGATTTTTCGTGTTTGTAGAATATATACTTACCGTTAATATTTTTCTATTGAAAAATATAAAATAACAATTTATTAATTTTGACTCATCATCATCAAAATGCATTTCGAAGCACGTAAGTAACATGTAAGTGTTTCATTTTAGTGCGAAACCAGTTGCAACTTTTATTAACACAGAAGTAAAAAATCGACATTCATGAAAAATGACCATTCAGGTGATGACGGTCTAGTTATGTACTAGTTTTTCAACACGTGTAACATCCGCTGGCCTGGAAATTAGGTGGAATAAAATGAACTGCAGCGGTATCGGTAACAGATATGGTATTCGGACTTGGAGTGGCATTAACAATGACTATAAAAACGTAAGCAGATTTGATGACAAACTAAATTTTTGCCATGACATTTGCAAGCGTATTAAGAATATCGGACTATTTGCTGACGTTGTGATCCTTTCTGGAGCGGTATTTCCAATAGGTGAAATGGAACTAATAGGGTATTTGACAGTATTAAAAATAAAGTGCCAATTGTTAGCATCTGTGATGAGAATGAATAATGGCAGGGTTTTTCACTATTTTTACAGAAAAAATATTCATAATTTTACTAAAAATCCACGAAAAAGATAATAGTTTTCTTATCTATTGTCACGTGGCCCAAAACGCTTGGGATTGGCGGAGCCTAAAATGACGTCACACGCAAGTAAACTTCCGGTTAAAGTGACATTACATTGTATCGTTTGACGTTTTGATAACATTCGTGTGACGTCACACACAAGTGAGACGCCATATTATCCAGAGAAACGTTTTCGCAGCAACTTGAAAATTGAGTTTTTGATTTGGTTAGTTTTACTGAAATACACAACAGAATGATGAATATCCACTTTTTACGGACTCCATAATTATTAGTCAATAACGTGAGATCGTTTTCTAAAACTTGTCAAATACCCTATTGTAGTAGCGGTAGCGTTGAATCAATGGAATTGACCAGGTGTATTAAGATCAGTTGATTTAATTAATTGCACACGTGTTGGTATCCCTTGGAGCGGCAAAGCTCGCAGTGTACTTTACAGCACCACACGAACCGGCAGTGGTACTTCTCCGTGTGGTCGCGCATGCACGTTTATAAACTGTTCAGTGTAGTAAGCAAAATTTCTCAGTAGCAGGGAAGTGGTCAATGTTGGTGACTTTTGTCAGACGATGTAAACTCATTTAACAAAATTTGGCAGCGTTTTAAGATCCTCAGATTTAATTAGTTACAAACATGGTGGTCCCGCTTAGAGCGGCATAGCTCGCAGTGCACTTTACAGCACCACACGAACCGGCACTGGCTCTTCTCCTTGTGGTCGCGCATGCACGTTTATAAACTGTTCAGTGTAGTAAGCAAAATTTCTCAGTAGCAAGGAAGTGGTTAATGTTGGTGACTTTTGTCAGACGATGTAAACTCATTTAACAAAATTTGGCAGCGTTTTAAGATCCTCAGATTTAATTAGTTACAAACATGGTGGTCCCGCTTAGAGCGGCATAGCTCGCAGTGCACTTTACAGCACCACACGAACCGGCAGCGGCACTTCTCCTCGTGGTCGCGCACGCGCGTCTGGTAGCCGCGCCCGCAGCACAGCAGCCGGCACCCGTCCAGTCCCGCGGAGGTGCGGTTGCAAGTACGCCCGCGAGTGCCGAGGATGCCGAGTCTGAAATGATGACGATATCGATGAAATCAAAATATACTTACGTAAAGAGAATTATTATTTAATAAGTTTAGTAAGTTTGACGCCCTTCGTGACCGAGTGGTTTGTACGCCGGGTTTCATGGTGTCGCCGAATCGAGAGGTCCCGGGTTCGAATCCCGGTGGGGGCAGATGTTTGTGTGATGAATACGAGCATTTGTATGCCAGTCATGCAGTGGATGTTTAATATTTATTTCTATATACATAAATAGACTCATATATGTACAGTATATGTATTCGCTACGATACGCAGTGCTTACTTTGGGGCTAGGCTAATTGATGTGTCTTGGAAATAATAATTTATTTATTATTTGTAGTTTCTTATGTTTTCATTCACTCCACTTATTAAATAAAACTACTTTCCAGAGTCTTTGAAATGCTGTCTTTGAAAAAAACTGTGCAACAGTTGAATGAAATTAACAAAATCGTACCAAAGGGAAAATAAGAGAATAGGATAGGAAATAATAGCGGATAGAATTGAAGCGACCGTCTGTGGAAGTAACCTCTATCTTACAGAAGACCACAGCGGATTAACACTACCTGTTTGTGGGGTTGAAATTCCGTTGGTGAATTTGGTTCCAGGACTTCACGGGCTAAGCGATGGGGTCAGGGCAATGGTGGGAGTGACATCTTTGACATTGCTAGAGCATATATGGCAGCGGTATAGCATCAGGGCCATAATAAGCTTGTTTATGTTTGCCACCCTTTTAACATAGAAAAACTTTTCGTTAAAGCAATGGTGCAAGCTATTCCTATCCTACAGTCATATAGAAGAGACTGAACGACGCTCGCATGAAATCAATAACTCTCTAGAAAGTTAAAAAGCGATGGTGCAGCCAATAACCACAGACTGCGAGATAGATTCATCTCTCTCATTTGTTATATTTCTTTATGCCTCTCTTTATTGTTTTTTTTTATATACCGGTTTGTTTTTATGATTTGATGCTGTGAAGGCTAATAAAATGTTTTTTTTTTCTTTCTCATACTTATCTGCCCCGTGAGTTCAAAAATATATGTTTCACTTACTCATCATTTGGTTCGCAATAATCGGGTGAATCCTCCAAAAACACCAAATCTGTCTTGTTCGGTTTCTTCATGTCAGCATGCAGCGGCCGTAACTTCCGTATGTTCTTGCCTCGTTTCCTCTCTACGATCTGTAAAGTAAATCGCTATAATTAGCGATAGTTATAGGCTTTATTATTACAAAAAATGGGATATGGTTCTAATACACTTATACCGTGACATCTTTCTCTAGCAATGGATTCTTAACGCAGTGCATACACTTCGTTAATAATTCATTCACGTCCTTTGGAATGGTGGGCCGAGTTAGATATTTTCTATAAAAATCTTCTATGGATATGATAATGATGAGAATTTTGATAGAGCAATTGGTTAGCGTGTGATAGGATGGGTGGGCAAAAATTTATTATCTCGAGCTCCTTCTAGCTTCGAAAGGCCTTAACATTTTAAGTCATTGGTCCCGGCTGTATTACTAAAGATTCCCATTAAATAGGGAAGTCATGTGCCCCAGCAGTGGAGACATTAATGGGCTGGTGATGATATAAAGGTTCTATAGTGGCGACTACGAACCGGACGACGCTCAGTGGGCGGTCCTCCACCAGGTGGACCGACGATTTGTGGAAGCTCGCGGAAAGACACTGGATGTTAAAGAGAGATCTTTGGGGAAGACTTATGCTCAGCAGTGGGCGTTGAATGGTTGAATGATAGTGATGAAAATGTGATGATGATAATTATGCAGTACTAACTTACGTCCACGTTAAGGTTTGTTATTTTCAGAGAAACCACAAGTACCTTAATTTTTCCTTTGTAAAAAGTAACCTATTGTCAATCTCTGTGATAAAATATATACATATGCAAAATTTCATCCAAATCCGTTCAGCCATTTAAGCGTGAAAGAGCAACAAACATTTATAATATTAGTAGGAAGTAGCCCGACATGCCGTGACACTTGCACACACGCTACATCCGCCCGGACTATGACCGCTGACCATGTATGATACCTTGACATACGAGGCGCCCTCGTAGCGCGTGGTGAGTGCATCGCCCACGAGCCGCAGCTGCGGCAGGCGACGCCAGCACACGTGGACCGAGCACGAGCGCGACATGCTGTGACACTTGCACACACGCTGCATCCGTCCGTACTATGACCGCTGACCACGTATGATACCTTGACATACGAGGCACCCTCGTAGCGCGTGGTGAGTGCATCGCCCACGAGCCGCAGCTGCGGCAGGCGACGCCAGCACACGCGGACCGAGCACGAGCCCGACATGCCGTGACACTTGCACACACGCTACATCCGCCCGTACTATGACCGCTGACCACGTATGTTACCTTGACATGCGAGGCGCCCTCGTAGCGCGTGGTGAGCGCGTCGCCCACGAGCCGCAGCTGTGGCAGGCGGCACCAGCATACGCGCACCGAGCACGAGCCCGATATACCGTGACACTTGCACACGTGCTGCATCCGCCCGCACCATGACCGCTGACCATGTATGATACCTTGATATCCGAGGCTCCGTCGTAGCGCGTGGTGAGCGCGTCGCCCACGAGCCGCAGTTGCGGCAGGCAGCGCCAGCACACGCGCACAGAGCACGAGCCCGACATGCCGTGAAACTTGAACACGCGCTGCATCCGCACGCACTATGACCGTTGACCACGTATGATACCTTGACATACGAGGCGCCCTCGTAGCGCGTGGTGAGTGCATCGCCCACGAGCCGCAGCTGCGGCAGGCGACGCCAGCACACGCGGACCGAGCACGAGCCCGACATGCCGTGACACTTGCACACGCGCTGCATCCTCCCGCGGACCGCCTGGCAACACACAGGACATCAACATAACTACGTTTACATTCAGCCCATTTGCGCAGTAACTAGCAGGAATATGGCATATAAAATGGATAATGCAAGTATGAAAACAATAAATTTGCCACATTATATTGAAATGTATCATACCACGTAGCAGGTCACCTATGCGATAGACTGACCAAATTAAATTTGTGGAGGCTCTATTAATCTACCCCTTTCATTGGCGCCTCGTCGCTTACACGGCCTGTTTGACAAGAACGAAACGAGTGATAAGAAATTACAGGTCGATTCCATTTTTGTTGACGTTGACCCTCCCATTAGCCCTTCACCCCAAATGCCGTTAAGTGTGCACTTTTGTGCACAGCACAGTCCAAATTCTTACTCTCACCGCCTCTTGTTCATCTCCGTGGTCATTAGTTCTATTCTAGTCGAAGACTCGACTGGTGCAATTTGCGCCTACTCATATAGTGGACTTTCAATACGTCCTGATCGTCATCGATATTGTGATCATCCTCCTGCTCTAACCTTACATATGTGTAGTTTTTGATTCCGTAAAGTGAAACGAGATATGAGGATGGTCACTATAGATTAAATATTTATATTAAGGGTATGTGCCCTCTATACCAGAAATCTTAAAGTTGTGATTTGATATTTCATAATCATAATGGTCGTCCATCCTAGTTTATCTTACATAGATTGTTACGCCGCCGTGGAGGAGGGACTAGGGACATAGCACAATAAAGTGCAGTATATTTGGTAGGTGATGATTCTTTAAACTTAATACTAAATCTGATAGCAGTATATTTTTCTCGATAAAGAATCAAAATGACAGACATAGAGAATCTTAAGCCCAACATTCAGCAATAGATGAGATAAAAGCCTTTCCCCAAGGCAATAGCAAAAAAGGAATAGCCAGACCAAGAGGTTAACGTGTCTTTAAAGAAAAGAAGATCGTCAACGCTCCTCAACCACAGATAGAAGGAAGAAAGAGGGAAAAATATTACACATCAAAAGTTGATTTGCCGCCATCTCCACTACTTAATTAACTCCTCTTTCATACTTTAAATGATTTTACCATCTAAGCAAGAAGCAAAGCTTACCCTTCGTCCCGCTTCATGATTATGAAGATTCATCAATCCTTCATCCGTGTTTTTATCTTCTTTAGAATCGATGAAATCTCGGCTAAACATTTCACCATATCTGATATCCTGGAATTTATAAATAATCATTTTATGTTTATCAAGCGCTTGATGTTATCTACTTATGGAAACTTTATAAGAAGGTGAAGCTCAAAAATGTTTATTTGTTATAAGTATTACATTTGCACTGAGTAATTATCGATAATTTAATTTTTGTCAAGCAAACCGGTAACGATATACATTTATTAGATTCTTAATCCTACACCTAGGCTTGTCATATGTTGGGAACCTTTTTTTATAACACAATGAACCCGATACCATCACTGAGAATCTAATTAATTGTTAATTGGTGTCGCCCCCTCAATTTGATCAGTTACTCCTTCTTGAATAGGAACACACCTCGGAACATCCTCCCCATTGCCAGTGTCTTGGCGTGCGTTTTCTAACTCGCGCGTCGCAGGAGCATTCGTTCAATTCGCCACGACTGCACGCGCGGGCTACAGCGTGCGCTAGCGCAGCCGACGACAGCGCGTGCACGAATGCCGATTCGCGAGACTCTGAAAATAGTTAGAATTTTATAAGGGTAAAATCGAATAAATAGGGTGACAGACATGTGCTAGACCCTACCAAATAATGGTTAATATTGTGTTGATTGAGTGAGTAGTTTCGACTGAATGGGTTTTTCTTTATCTCCTCAATTTTAAATGTGTCCATAGTTTATTATTTAATATAATTATAATATAGAATCGCCACATACTGCCATATTAAGTACATTTACAGTTACAGTTTTCGAATACACTTAAATAACCCTAAAAAACTTAAATTCCAGACATCTGCAGAATCTTAAAAATGTCTAAACATTAGATTGTGCATATAAAAATGCCTGAATAGTGCTCACGTTATATTTAAGATAAAATGCTTATTCTCTTAGAAACATCCGCTCACTGTACCAAATTTCTGATCATCCGCCAGTCTTCAGTGAAAAGTAAACAAAACAACTTGACGGGTGACGTACAGAGTTCACATCACCCGGCGCCGATGCAACTGTAATCGACCACCCAAAAATAGCTAGTTTTCTCAAAATCAGAACATCAGTTCAATGTACTATAATCTTAGACCACATTGAATAGAACCTCAAGGATTTCTACAACTTCCTAGAGTCGATTTCGTATGAACTCTATACGTGCGGGTGTTTTCATGGATCAAGTAACGCTGGGCATGTTTATGGTTTACGTTAAACTGTGAGCTCTTCTATCGACACCACACGTGTCGATGGGTCGACATTAGAAAATAAACAGTCGAGAGTTCCCTTGAATACGTCTTGAAGTAGCGTGGGACGAACGTAGAAGTACGCATTAGGTACGCATGAAATGTTTGTCGTAAAATTTTGATAGGGTTTGAATTGTGTTGTAAAATTACGATACAATAATTGTAGATGAACTAATTATTATATTTTTAACTATTAATTATATTAAAGAAAATCTGATTGTAAACTATTACAGAACAAAGACATATGCATAAAAAACCATTTCTATTGATCTGTAACTTAATTGGCACCATATTTTTTACAAAGACGCAATGCTAGAGTGCATTTTAACACTGGTTCGTTATTGCCCGATGGTTGATGCGCTAAAGTTATCAAATTTCAAACGATCACAATCTAGCGTGGAAGAGTTTTAAGATGATTTGATAAAAGTCAGCAATGTTGAATTAAAAGCAATTATGCCTAGACTAACCAAAACAGAAAGAATTGTAAAAAACAAATTAAACAACAACGAACTAAAGCTTAATGTGAAAATAATGAGTAAATCACATCTGAGAGTAGTTGCTAATACATTTAACACACAACATAAGTTGTTCAAGATGAGATCCACTTAGCTGGATCCGGTAGAAACAGGCTTATGGTACCTTGTATTTGCAGTTTCTTAATATCCCTTTCCTTTCGAGAATAATGCGAAGTTAATGCTAAAGATCAGCTACCTTTATGTAACCAAAAGCTACTTACTCGACATTTTTAATTTTTTTTTTGAGGTATCACTCCATCTTTGTGATTAAAATCAAACAAAGATAAAATAAGAACTTTTTAAGAATTTTGATGCAATTTACTTTAATATTTTTTTATTTTTTAAATGAGAGTTATTTAGAGAACTCGTTTGGTACCTGCAAGGTTAGTTTTTCTAACTATTCCAAAGATTCTGACATCAATTTCTATAAGTACTCAAACATTCCCCAAAAGTCAAAAGCAAATAGGTTAAAGGACAATGGGCAAAACACACCCAGCTCCGCCAACAATGTTATTAGTATGAATCGATAGATCTATAAAAGCTAGCCTTTTTTAGTATGACACCGTAAAAAATATCCTAGTAGTCAAAAGATATGACACATGGGCATATTTAGGTAGCTAAATAAATTCATTTTATGGTACCTTCATTTTACGGGGGTTGAAGGACTTGTAGTTGCAAATGGTCGACTCGTCTTACTACATTGTGATTGTGCGCTATTTGTCACTTGATTGATTTTTATCTAGCACGCTTTGGTCATTGGAACATGATTATCGGTTTTATCAATTAGTATGGATGAACTGGAATCATGGTTTCTCCGAAGCCTGGACAAGTTTTTGTATTGTATCGCTCCGTTTTACATAGAAGGCAATTTACTATAACGAACAGACTGTTTAAAAAAACCCCAACCCATGCGGGGATTTTTGGATTTACTTTAGCGCGGCAGAATATCATAAGGGGGCACCCTTGCACCTTGTGAAGTACTCCCATAATACCTGAGCCCTCTATGTACTGTACTCTATGTACTAACTAACTAAATAAATTCCCTTGTTTTGTTAATGGTCGGTCGTTATAGTACTTGTAACTATTTAACTTAAAAAAAATGTGTGCGTGTACTAGTGTACACACGTAAGAAGTGAAACTTCTTTATGGCCTTATTTTTCGAAAAATGATCTACATGCAACTTTCCAGAAATTGGTTAAATAAAGTTAAATTAGATAAAGTTTAAACAAAAGGATTTTATTATCATAGACATGAATACAAATTACTGCCTATGAAACTGTTATGATTACACGGCTTAGTAATCTAAGGCACATGTTCCACCTCCGACGATGAACGATAAGCGAGTAGAAACTAGAAACGAATTGACAGTCCTGAGTTAAAATGCACGTGCACGGCTTTTGACAGCCAAGCCAGCTTAACCGAGCGAGAATAGCTGAGCGAGTATCGCTGAGCTAGTATCGCTGAGCGAGAATCGCTGAGCGAGTATCGCTGGGCGAGTATCGCTGAGCGAGTATCGCTGAGCTAGTATCGCTGAGCGAGTATCGCTGAGCGAGTATCGCTATGCGAGTTTGGCTGAGCGTGTCTTATCTTTAATAACTATTGTCACTCAGCTACAAACGAGTAGAGAGAGTTCTCGCCGGCGACAGTGTGATCATTCAGCTATCAACTATTAATATAAAAAAAGATGGCGCGTAACGGAAAAATGTAACGCGTAACCGAAAAATGTGACGGTAAATTTTTTTCCAACGCCGATAAAGAAGTATCACTTCAATAACTGAAGACCCCCGGGATAGAATTTGATGCGCCTTGGCACAGATGATCATGACTATAATACCTTTCAAACAAATGTAGTTTAAGCCGTGGCGGACGTGGGTGCAGCGTCCATACATTTTTGCCCAATATCCTTTCTAGATTTGTTTTGAAGGGTTTATATTTGAATTCTTTTGCAGCTACCAACTGAATAAATGTATCCACCTAAATGAACTCAATTCCACATTGTAAATCTCATCTATTATGCTTATATAAGTTTTACTATCTGCAGTGTGCATTCTGCTTATCTCAATAAGAATTAGAAGAAGTATGAGTCAGTAACATAAGGTAACAAAAATTAACAAAGTATGACGATATTTGCTATGGTAAATCTACCGTTTGATTTTTAACTTCATTCGTCTTTTTAATTGCACACCAGTGTAAAAATTTTAACTTTTTATCTAAGTAATCAATGATTGACAGATGAACGAGTGGATAGCCGATTGTTAGTAACCATTAGGTACATTACAATGCCCTAACTAAAATTGGACACCTTGAACACAACTTAAATCTTTTAGAAGCTGACTGTAAAGAGCAATCGTGCAGTGGCTGTTGAGAGTCCCTTATTATCCAGTATCGAAACTAACTCGTGTCATCATGAATGAGCAGAGGTGACATAACATTTGACTTTAAATCACACACTGTCGACGGAATCCTTGCTTGTACTGTTCCATAATATGTAAAATTCCTGATCCTAGAAAAAAATGATAAATAGCTACTGTACCATCACATAAGTATATTTCTCTGATTCTATCCAAGGCTGTATTATGGAAATTAGAAACAACAGTACAGTCAGTGTCCCTACTTTAGAATAATGCCACATTAACAACTACCTTTTGAAGTGAAACCTTGAGCGGCGTTGTACACTTTTTTTTTTTATATGGTATGTGGGACACGTGGGCTGATCGGGGATCTGGCAATAAAGTTAGAAAGGTTGTTGACTTTCAATATATTGGACGAAAAATTTACTATGTTTATTTTATTTTATCGTATTATAATAATAAGTCTCTATCTAGGACGTCCAGGTGGCAGGTTATTGCGAAGAAAATGCATTTTTTACCCATGCCCTAGTATCCCATAACACAAGCCTGCAGCGCTTACTTTGGGGCTAGGCTAATTAGTGTGAGTGTTGGAAATATTTATTCATTATTTATACTTACGTTAACTATTTCGATCTTTGTGTATATCTGTGGATATGGTAGTAAAGTAATAAGCTAATTTTCAGGCAAAGTGGATCACATATTTCACCTTATCTGGCCAGTTGTACTCAAATCTGCTGTTTTTTGGGATTAAATGAATGAAAACATGACAAATGGAGAAATTGATTCCCATTAATTGCCTCCGCTATATATCTGTCTATAACTAGGACCCTACCTCTAGAACGGATTTCCGTTTTACTTATTTAGATAGACCCGAAATTACTGCGACTACTACACATGAAACTTCTGTTTCGATTTGTTTCGGTCGATTTAATTTTTAAGTATCTGAATACCTACTATTAAACAACCAAGTAGGAGAAGTACTTGGAAAATGAAGGTTTTAAAAACAATATTTAAAAATTAGATCGAATAAAACAAATCGGGGAAGAAGTTTCGTGTATGGAGGAGACCTCTTTATTATTTAACTTTATTTTATTTTTTTATTTGTTGGATACTGAATCTAAAGGTCACAATAACCCTCGTACCGTACTGCTTCTAAGATAATAAAAATAAAACGTAACGTTTCATAAAAAAAAATGTTTGTTGTTTGCTCGACCAGTGTTAAATCAACATACTCAGCCACCTCTGGTTTTTACCAAAAGCTGTAGTAATATCAGTACTCACTGAATTTGAGCACGCCTCCGAATATATCCGTCGAGTTGGGGTTGGTGTTCGTGCTGCAGTTCCACCTGCTGTGGCGGAACTGGTGCTGGCACTCCTCCACCGCTTGCACAGCACCGGTCTGGAGGACCTGGAACCCAAAATAAAAAGTGAGAGATGGTGAGAGGATTAGCCAACAAGTCGACATTTAACTAAAATAGAGGTGACGACGTGGTAAAGAAAACGAAATTCTGTTAAGTCCGTCAGTTAGATTATGGACACGTATATTTTTAGTCAATCAACCAAAAAATTACAAATAGAATAGAATAGAATTAATTTATTCATAAACATAGGTACAATAGTGATGTTACAATAAAAGTTAAAGTTAAAGCAAGTCAAATTATAACCCTTTCCTCTTTTTAAAGAGGCGTGAAAAACAATTATGTAGGCCAGAAATGTGATATTGGCTGGTGTGGCAGGCAGAACTGCTGTATCAGTTATCTTCGTGTCAGGACTCCACCGTCAATTAACATCAGATAAGGAGTAGCCATCTGTCGGACCTATTTATAAAATTAATGAGGCAAAAATCTCATCAAATCAAATTAAAAAAAAAACAAGTATTTCAACCTTAAGCCATGTCTGTACGACTCATAATTTTAATTTAAGATTTTAGGCTACAAAATAGTAAGTACATTTTTACTATATAAACACATAAGTAGAAAATGTTTAAATTTACCCAGATACTTTGTCATTGCTCAGTGGAATCAAAAAAATCTGTTCCTAATATAAGAAACTTCGATTCCCCCTTTACGGAACATAATCCATGGTAAAATCATCTGAAATTACTTTAATTTATTTGATTTTCTATGTTTTTTATAAAGATAGGCTTGCCACATACTTTGACGATGGGGAAAGATAGTACTGGAGCGGAGACCCAGAAGTGGTCACAGAAACGTAAGCAATCCACCAATGCGATGGACAGACGATATGATAAAGATAGTGGGAAAGCTTTTTACCATTTATATTCCTGCCCAAAACAATGATAACAATATCCATGGTAATCCGCCATATATCCATTCGCGAATCCAAATTATCTCTGACACATAAAACTATGGGTGTTTATAGTCTCGAGTCTCAATAATGATGGTCGGTTGCAGACTCCAACAAACGTTCTTTAGAAAAAAAGGAGAAAATCAATTGTATCGTAGTATTTATGCATTTATTCTCATTTTTATTTATAATGCTATTCAACTAAGAATAGGACCGAATGGGCGCCATATTGTGATGTCATAGCTGTTAATTCAAACCAAATAGGTAGAGTGAGCAAAAAAAAGTTTTTGAAGTTATACTTCTTTAGGCGCGTTATGAAAAAATGATGAGAGTGAAATTTTTAGATGCGCGCGCATCACTGTAACACAATAGTAACACCATGAAGTTGGCCGCGGGTGTGTTATGAATGTTAGTGTCTAATAATGGTGGATTATTAACCACTTAGTGGTTAATAATCCACCATTATTTGACACTAACATAGACATAGACATTAACCACTTAGTGGTTAATAATCCACCATTATTAGACATCTGTTCGAAAGGTACTTTGAACGATCCACGGAGCTCCATAAGATGATCGTTTTGTCAAAAACAATGTTGGCACGCTCGTCGCCTTTGATCACTGTTTTCATATTTATAATATTTATCCACATGTTTCTAGTTTCTATATAGACACAACGTGTTTTAGTTACTTACAAGTGCTAATTACATATGGACTAATAACTTAAATTCAGTAGTGATTTTAATTGAATATTTTGAATATTTATTTAATTTTTAAATTGTGTGTGTTTCAATTTGACTGTGTTAACTATCCTTTTCCAGTCCTTTTATTATTTTATTGTAATTATTAATTATTTGCATGCAATTAAAAAATATTTTTAATGATGCTAAAGAAGTATAACTTCTCACGCGCGTACATAAGTTACACGCATCCATTTTTATTTAATAAAATTTATGTACTCAGATTACATGAGATAAAGCATCAGATTATTTTAATAACATTCATTTACTAAGATTGAGAAAAAAAAAAGATGTGGTGTCGTGGGACACCAGGTAGGAACGAAGTTCCTTCGGCTAATGTAGAATCGACACAAATTGCAAACTCGCTTGTGTATGCAACTGTCGCGCCTGCGCACGTCTCATTTAACGGTTTTATTCCACGCACTTTGTTCCACTGATTTTTTCTTACGGTTTTACTATCACATTTTTTCAGTTCGGTCGCGCAGCAAAATCCCTATCCCCTCCAAGCCTGCCGTAAGGAACTTCATCGCGCCTGCGCACGTCTCATTTAACGGTTTTATTCCACGCACTTTTTTCCACGGATTTTTGTTCTTACGGTTTTACTATCACATTTTCACATTTTTTTCAGTTCGGTCAGCTAGTGTTCGTAAAGATTGCTAGGCAGGACTGGCCCACAGATTATAATAAACTACAATGTCACAATAATCCAGGAATGCAGCCCCGTCGCTCTGCCACCCCCTGGACTTAAGCACAGTTTAGTATAATATACGACAATAATCCAGTGTTGGTATAATGCCACAATAATTTGGGGTTGCACCCCGTCGCTCTGTCACCCCCTGTTAAGTACTGACCTTGTTATCATGTCTAGCTTAAGTTTACAGCAGATGATAGGCGTTCCTGGTCCACAGCTCGGTATAACGTCACAAATATCCAGATTTCGTGTAATGTCACAATATTCCAGTGCTGCACCCTCGTAGCTGTGCCACCCCCTACATACGCACCTTATTATCATGTCCCGCTAGCGTTCGTAAAGGATGCTAGGCAGGACTGGCCCACAGTTTAAAATAAACTACAATGTCACAATAATCCAGTGATGCACCCCCGTCGCTCTGCCACCTCCTGATAAGTACTCACCTTGTAATCATAATCATGTCTCACAGGCCTTACTGGTCCACAGCTTGATATAACTTCACAAATATCCAGTGTTGGTGTAATATCACAATATTTCAGTGATGCACCCCCGTCGCTCTACCACCCCCTATAACTTCACACATATTCACTGTTGGTGTAATATAACAATATTTCAGTGATGCACCCTCGTCGCTCTACCGACCCCTATAACTTCACACATATTCTGTGTTGGTGTAATATCACAATATTTCAATGATGCACCCTCGTCGCTCTACCACCCCCTATAACTTCACACATATTCAGTGTTGGTGTAGTATCACAATATTTCAGTGATGCACCCTCGTCGCTCTACCACCCCCTATAACTTCACACATATTCAGTGTTGGTGTAATATCGCAATATTTCAGTGATGCACCCTCGTCGCTCTACCACCCCCTATAACTTCACTGTTGTTGTAGTATCACAATATTTCAGTGATGCGCCCTCGTCGCTCTACCACCCCCTATAACTTCACACATATTCAGTGTTGGTGTAATATCACAATATTTCAATGATGCACCCTCGTCGCTCTACCACCCCCTATAACTTCACACATATTCACTGTTGGTGTAATATAACAATATTTCAGTGATGCACCCTCGTCGCTCTACCACCCCCTATAACTTCACACATATTCAGTGTTGGTGTAATATCACAATATTTCAGTGATGCACCCTCGTCGCTCTACCACCCCCTATAACTTCACACATATTCAGTGTTGGTGTAGTATCACAATATTTCAGTGATGCACCCTCGTCGCTCTACCACCCCCTATAACTTCACACATATTCAGTGTTGGTGTAATATAACAATATTTCAGTGATGCACCCTCGTCGCTCTACCACCCCCTATAACTTCACACATATTCAGTGTTGGTGTAATATCACAATATTTCAGTAATGCACCCTCGTCGCTCTACCACCCCCTATAACTTCACACATATTCAGTGTTGGTGTAGTATCACAATATTTCAGTGATGCACCCTCGTCGCTCTACCACCCCCTATAACTTCACACATATTCAGTGTTGGTGTAATATCACAATATTTCAGTGATGCACCCTCGTCGCTCTACCACCCCCTATAACTTCACACATATTCAGTGTTGGTGTAATATCACAATATTTCAGTGATGCACCCTCGTCGCTCTACCACCCCCTATGCGCACGTCTCATTTATTGGTTTTATTCCACGCATTTTTTCTTACGGTTTTACTATCACATTTTTTTCAGTTCGGTCGCGCAGCAAAATCCCTATCCCCTCCAAGCCTGCCGTAAGGAACTTTCGTTCCAAAAACCCCCCGATTTTTAATAATATTTATTTATTAAGACTGTGAGAAAAAACATTAATCAGAATCTAGCTCTTCTATTCCGCTCATCTCTGCATTACCGTCGGAGTAGTTATGAATAATCATGCACTATTACTAACTAGATCACATACGAACATGCATCTTTTATGTAAACGAAACGTTGAAATCGAGTTTCTGAACGCAAATTAAAGTGACATTTGGTTGACGATTTAGGTTATCAACCATTCATGGCCAAACCTCAATAAGTGAAAAAAAAAATATCAATCGATATTAATTATCAATATTTGTTATTGTTTGTTTACAAATGCTTGGTTTTTACTCTTGAATTAGCAGAGTGCTAAAAATGGGATTCCAACTTATTTTTTGCAAATCGTACTTTTCATGCGACATTTGATAGATAGAGGTCATTGGCTTTCCTATTCTTATTTGAATCGCATTAAAAGTAAGTAAACGTCCATGCTAACAATTCAGAACTACTTTAGGCTTCGTCCGTTCTTCATGCAGTTACTTCTCTGCAAAAGTCGCTAAAAGTGGGGACTTTTAAATTTAAAAATTTAAAAGTCCCCACTAAAAATTTAAATTGGGGAATTTGATGCATGTAATATCAAAACTATAATCACTCGGAGGATAATTCTAATCACTTATACACCCGTTGAAGACATTAAATGTTTGATTGCAAGCTGCGCTTCAGTTTAATGGTATCTATAAACTGCTCAGTTTTACTATCTCCATTTAATTAGAGCTTTTAAAGTGATTAACGGTTGTCTACTTACTTAATTGCTCATATAAAGTGAGATATTTATTTGCGTCTTAATACAATTTCCTATCGATTTACTACTTACAAAACATACCTATCACAGCAAGCTTCTCATAGAATCTATGAAACAAGAAAATCTTACATTTTTATAAAACCAAATCCCATACCGCGTCTGTCTGGGTGTATGTCGTAATTCTATCAGTGAGTAAGGTTCTAGGCTCCACGTGGTAGGGGATCGGGTCAGGGTCTGACCAATTCGATATTATTATTTTTTAAATATGAATTTTAACCGCCGATTTTTTTATTGTTTCTTCCCAGGCGGGAGAGCGTGTGTGAAATCCTCATGGGTATACATGAGGATTTCACGGCTGCAAGCCGTGCAGCCGGCTGCAAGGTTATTTCAGACTCTTAATGACTTCTTGAGCTATATCTGAAGCGATCATCCCCTAAGAGGGGGATAATGCAATATAATCGCCGATCTTTTCAAGCGCTTGTATACTTTTTATAAAAAAACGTAACGTAAGCGCGACTCAGAAGCCGTTGCCGTTGGTACTCGCGTTGGAACTAATGATATTTTATAGTGATTGTTAAATAGCTTTTTTTTATGAATTTGTTGCAATGCAAGGTTTTACGCAACAATAACTTAATCTATGTCACCATTAATATTTTCTTCTAAGGAATTTTCAATAGGTAAGAAATTTTCTTTAACCAAAGTTGAACGACTATTACTCTTAAACTTAAACGGATCCTTAAATCGAAAAATAGCCTAAGATATCTCTAAATAATTTTAAAGGACCTATTCAACGATATCCCATACGATAGGGTAGATGATGACAAAAAACAACCCCAAGTTACATCTAGGTGGGCTACCCTAAAAAAATATTTTTCTAATTTTTATTCTAGTGTTTTGTCGGCGTGATAGATACACATATCTCCACAAAATTACAGCTTTCTAGTACTTATAGTCTCCAAGAAATACTGGGGATGGACAGACGGACATAACGAAACTATACGAGTTCCTAGTCAGGAGTACGGAACCCTAAAAAGCAAACGTCAGTATAGTAGACCACTCGGTTGGAATCGTACATAACTTCGTTCTATGATCGTCTATAGTCTTAAATCTTATATAAACACTAGCTGTCCCGGCGAACTACGTACCGCAATAAAAAATAGGGGTTAGTGGTAGAAAGGTGAAAATTTAGGATTGCATGTATTTTTGTATGATGTATCATAAAAAAATTAAAAAAATAAAAATTATCTAAAATTGAAAAAAAAATTTAGGGGTGGATTACCCTTAACATTTAGGGGGATGAAAAATAGATGTTGTCCGATTCTCAGACCTACCCAATATGCACACAAAATTTCATGAGAATCGGGAAAGCCGTTTCGGAGGAGTTTAACCACAAACACCGCGACACGAGAATTTTATATATTAGATAAGTACAATACGCTACGAAACAACTGACGGTTGTAAAGGAGTAGGGTTTTCCTTTACAACCGTCAATTGTTTCGTAGCGTATTGTACTGATGTTTATTTAAGATTATAGAAGTTTTTTTTTTTCATAGCCCCCATCCGCCAAGTCCTACTATGCCTACCGTTCGAAAAAGAACTTCGTTCCTAAACCTTCGTAGGAGAGGTAATTCACAGCAGATTTATCCCACTCGAATCTGTTTTTTTTTTGAGTGTATATGCTGTTTTTCGCAGATGACCTTTACAGCGTCACCGGGTTTGGAACGGCGAGATCCTAAGGGGACCTAAAGCCGAGAATTGGCGAGTGCCTCTATGGTACGTACCTGTACCTGGTATAGAGTGTCGTGTGTAGACCGGGTGTTCGCACTCTTATCCTACAGGTGAGGTGTCAGCCTAATGCTAAGCTAGTGTGCAAGTATGCTAGCTGTGTAGTGTTGGTGTTTTCTCCCACCTGTGTGGGAGGAGTCGGAGGCGCGTTGGCGCGGGTGATTTTGTCGTCGGGGTACTCTAAGACATGCCTGGGCCGACGGAATCGGAGGGAACTCGAATCGGAGCGCCCATCTGGGGGTGTAACATCCACCTTACAGAAGACCACAATAAAATAACACTACCTCTTAGTGGTGTTATGTTTCTGCCGGTGAATAAGGTTCCAGGGCTCCACGGGGTAGGGGGTTTGATCAGTATCAGGTATTTTTTTGTATCGGAAGCATCTATAGGCTATGGTGGCCGATAACCACCAATATGCTTCTTCGCTGGCAAAAACACCTGGTTTTAGATCTATGACAAGACAATATTAAATTATCGCATTTTTTTTTATAAATTTCCTACCTGTATCATTTTGTCAGATAGCATGCACAGCTGCCTCTGCCTTTCGACTAGAAACTCCAACCTGTGGCAGTATTCTTTGTGTAGTGTTGTGACTGTTTCCAATGACGAGTTCCCCGATTCGCTGGTCACTCTCGGCGCTGCCAAATTCCTGTAACAAGTGACGGTGAAATGTTAATTATCATCATCATCAGCCTAAAAATGTCCAAACTGCTGGGGCACAGGCCTTCCTTATGGATGTAATAGGGAGATTAGGCCGTGATCCAATACGCGGGCCAAGTGCGCATTGGAGGGTGCTAATGGCTTCAATTGCAGCGGGACGAACGGCTTAAAATGCTTGCCGAAGCACGGATGAGCTCGAAATAATAAGGTTTTGGTCGCCCATCCAATGACCGACCATTGCGAAAGTTGCTTTACATCCACGATCGCTGACCGAACGTACTAATCAACGTCTTAAGCTTATAATATTCTCACTGCTGCATATCCCCTTTATCCACCACGTGGGCTTCACAATACATCAATACAGAATAGTTACCAATATTGTCTTGGAGACCGATATGTTTCGGTAAATAAATTAAGTTATTGTAACAAGTTAAAACCCTGAAGTTAAATTCCACCAAATGTTTCAAAGCTAGTTTTTGAAGTTATACAGCGACCAACTTCATGCGTTACTTTTGTGTTTACCGCACATTAAGAAAATCTACCAACAAAATAGAAATAGAATCTGTATTTAGTGGGTGCTAACGACTGCATTGTAAAGGCCTATCAAAAGTATTTATTAATCTGGAACAACGGAACCAAAGCGCGATTCAGGAGACTACAGCGCCATCTCTTGACCATTGGTGTAGTAGAACCAAAAACCACATATTTTTTGTAATAAAGTAACAGTTATAGGTATTCATATTTATAATATTTATCCACGTTTCTAGTTTGTATATTCGGAATACGTGTTTGAGTTTCATACAAGCGCAAATCACATATGTTGTAATAAATTATATTCAGTAGCGATTTTAATTGAATATTTTGATTATTTATTTATTTTTTCAAATTAAAACTGAACTTTATTGACTGTGTCCTTTTCCAGACTTTTTATTAATTTATTGTAATTAATTATTTGCATGCAATTAAAAACTAATTTTAAACGATGCCAAAGAAGGATAACTTCTCACGCGCCTACATAAGTACACGCACCCATTTTTTTTGGGTTGTTCCGTATTTATACTACGACGTCTCATCCAACTCATTATTTTCTAATTAACTTACAATTAGAAAGGTAAATCTACTTCTTACTTTTTCAAAAATAATCAAAATTATTTCTAAGAGTTCAAAAATTACGATTTCTTGCAAAAAACGTAAAAGGGCTCTTAACCATCCCATCAAGGTTCCTGGCTCAACCAAACACAACCCGTTCCAAAATCCCGAAAAAACGTAATGTGGTCGTAGTTCTCTGAGAGCTGGTTATATCATACCTACCTTCATATCTAGGCGCATAAAAAGATTTGCTTAAAAGAATTAAAGAACTTATAAGTAACACATAATGTAAAAATATTGTTCTAGTTATGCGGGTAAAACAACCTATTTGAAACTGGTCATATTAGATATAGGTAGAGTATAGTGTTCGTGAAAGTCGAAATTTTGTAACTTTATACGAGTTTAAGCCAAAGTTCCAGTTGCATCTTGCTATACTTACTTCTCCTTTGAGCGTGAAACAAAAGAGCTAACATTTACTTAAAACTCACCGCCATTCCCAAATAACAGCCGATCTACAAAGTGGAACCCCCATCGTCCCAATAAAAAACAGCGCCCTCCAAAGAGGTTGAATGCGCCGATTCCAGCATGGAGGCTGCACGTGCAACACTCAAGGTCCACAACCCTTTGCACATCCTCTCATGCTTGCAATTAAAACGAAAAACCGAGCGGAATAAAACACAACAACTCAACAAGCCAGAAAGAGACGGAGCGCCTCATTTACCCGAGCACTTTTTATTTCCACTTGCACCGAAGGGAGGTCGTCGGCCAATCAACGTACTACGCCGCGCCCGTTCCCATTGGCCCGTTTGAATAGAGAATATTTTTTCAAAAATAGAACAAAAGCGGGGGTAGGTAACAGCGAGTTTTGTTTTCTTCGAGTGGCATTCCTCATTTGAGTTGAAGAGCTCGTTGCGAACGGACATCTCAACGGTTAATTACCTCATTGTTGAGGGCACTTGCGCGTAAGCATTTCATTTGTGAATGTTTAACATTGTTATTTTATTGCGCTGTTACCTTTCGAGTCGAGTAGGGATTACAGAGCAAGCAAATTAGCGTTGTTTATTTCTACTTTAACAATCATTCTGCTCGTTTCTACAGTGTTGTTTGCTAGTAATATAAATGGTCGTAATGAAGGTAAAATAAAGGGGTTCTATTGTCACTGTGAGTTACTTATCTGTAACGAATTATAGGATGTATATAAATACTACTACATCCTTCAAATAATAGGTCACAACTGTCCTTTTCTCAACTGGGTAACTTGCAAAGAAACCCGTCATTTTACTTCATTCAGTTAATATGAAAATTATGTAAATTTCTCTGCTGGAGAAATGAGTGCACTTAAATATCACAATTAGACTGTGTATTTCGTAAAATAAGAGAGTAAATTCTATAACACAATATTTTAATAACCAATCATTCCTTTTAGAACATAAAACATGCGGTATTTATATTACCGTGCCGATTTGTGTTTTTACTTCTGTCAGCACACCCAAAGTGCCACAACCACTTTTTAACATTTAAATTACAATTTTCGACCCCCATGTTGGAACAGTCAATCTACAGCCATCACAAAATAAGACATCGTAATATATCTAAACAATAATATGTGGAATTGCTGCCACATAGGGCTTGTTTTTGGCAAGACCCCCCAGTGACTACATGATCGTGGTACTTGTAAGTAACAGCGCCGAAACAACAAGATACTACATATAATTGAAAGTCAAACGAACTTACCTGTAAGTGACGTTCGACTTATATTATACGATGTGATTCGCCCGAGAGATTACATTGACACACTTGTAGTAGCACGCATTATGTGCTGCCATCGTACACAATTTTAGAGCAACATTAACCTTTGCCTAAAAAATATAACAAAAAAAATATAAAATATGCGTTCGCACTGGGGGTAACTCCACATATTCATACACGTTTGGACTAAAGCGGTCCATTGGTTCTTGCTATTTCGTGTGACCATGGGTAAGATCTAGATATCTTCATAGAATAGCTGATCAGGGACAGGGAGGGTGTGTAATCTCTCGGGCGAATCACATCGTATAATATAAGTCGAACGTCACTTACAGGTAAGTTCGTTTGACTTTCAATTATACTTCTGTGATTCGCCCTTCGAGATTACATTGACACACTTGTAGATGTTTAAAGCTACACGAAATAGCTGACTTTTAGATACTAATGTAAATTAATATAGTAACACTTGATTTGAGAATAAAATAAAATACTATTATTTAGCTCTAGATAGGTAATTTAAAAATCTATTTAAAATGTTTGTAAAGAGAGCGAGCAAAAAAGGCCGAGTTATTTTTGGATACTTCTCTATTGTAAAATTTCGCACTTGTCCAATCCGCAGTTTACTTCATAAGCTGTATACTAACTTCTGGCTTAGTATCAGGTAAAGTAGCAGCACGTATCGTGCTATAAGAAGGTGATTATGTCTATTCCGCTGTCTGGTAGAGTTGCAAAGATACAGCGACTCGAAGTCTATGAACTAAATAATAATATTAGTAAAAAAATAAAAACACATTCCCATTGCCTCTTCACTGCTGAAACATTGAAATAGTATTCCAAGATTTTTGGCTAGACATATTGAAGGTACATCGTTATAATAAAGTCAGTAAATGATAAGCTCGATTTATAGTTGAAGACTTAATCTTATCAGTGATATTTAATTTTGAAACTTTCATTAGTATACAAATTAATATTTGACTTGATTATAAATAAAATAAGTATCTTATGAGCAATAAAAAGAGCCAAAGAGTTATTACCTATTATTAAAAAAAAACAGCTTTATAAAATGCTATCACATGGGTCCAAGTTTCCTCTTTAAATAATTATGCACCCTACTTGGGATTCAAGTAGTACTAGTAGTACCCGTGACAGTATATTTTGGTGACAGGGTACGAAATTTATAAATTTCTTCACAAAAACCATTTGACAAGAATATTGTTCATAATTTCTGAATTTATTTTAATAATGACATAACCGATTTTGTGCTGTCATTTATGCTAATTTTCTTTTTCTTATTGAGATATCCCAGACCACAGCGTTTCAAAAAATAGTACATAATTTTATCCACAAAAACAGTGACATTGTTTCAAACGAGCATTGTATTTAAAGAAAATATAACTAGAAAAAATTCCACTCGGACCAGGCAGCAGACGGGACTCGAACCCGCCTTGCAGCTTAAGAATAGCTAGAAAGAATTTCGACGCGGTCCGTGAGGGTCGCGGTAGCATAATTGGTCAGTGCATTCGCCCGGATTGCGAAGGGTGCGGGTTCGAGTCCCGTCTGCTGCCTGGTCCGCGTGGAATTTTTTCTAGTTATATTTTCTTTAGATTTAAACATCAAGCAGTTACATGCTTTAAAAATAATAAAAATTATAACTATAATTGCTATTTCTTCTTTCAAATGTTTAATACTTGTAAAAGTATTCATTTGACATTGTGGGTTTACCTATTATGCGAAGAGATGGCGCTGCCTTGCAGCTTAAGAATAGCTAGAAAGAATTTCGACGCGGTCCGTGAGGGTCGCGGTAGCATAATTGGTCAGTGCATTCGCCCGGATTGCGAAGGGTGCGGGTTCGAGTCCCGTCTGCTGCCTGGTCCGCGTGGAATTTTTTCTAGTTATATTTTCTTTAGATTTAAACATCAAGCAGTTACATGCTTTAAAAATAATAAAAATTATAACTATAATTGCTATTTCTTCTTTCAAATGTTTAATACTTGTAAAAGTATTCATTTGACATTGTGGGTTTACCTATTATGCGAAGAGATGGCGCTGCCTTGCAGCTTAAGAATAGCTAGAAAGAATTTCGACGCGGTCCGTGAGGGTCGCGGTAGCATAATTGGTCAGTGCATTCGCCCGGATTGCGAAGGGTGCGGGTTC